TTATAAAATCACAGAGCCCTATAGCAGGAAAAAAAAATAACCCTTAGTGTTTGTTAGTCTTAAAAGTACTGCCTTCTTAGTGGTTGTTTGCTTGCCTTGTTTTGTTTTTGCGATGGGGTCTCTATGCAGCACCGGCTGACTGTGAAGTCTCTATCCTATTGTTTTCTAATCCAGAGTACTGGAATTACAGGCATTGACCACTAAGGCCAATGGTTTTGTTGTTACTGGGAAACAGAAAACAAATAGATGAGCATTGCTCTATTCTGCAGTAAAAAGGATATAAAGGTAGTGTCTTCCCAATCTCTCCTTCACATTTCCACACTCCACACACAGTACTCTCTTCTTGGTTTGCTAAGGGTGTGCTGTGGGACTTTGCATGAGTACCTGGCTTTGCAGGTGACTGACAGCTCTTCAGTGTTGACCATCACCATCTTGTGGCCTTTTGCCATATTACCGTTGGGGATTTTAATCCCGCAGTGCTTGTTTGCGATTGCAGCAGGCAGTCCAGTCTGTCTTCTCCAGAGATCCCGAGGAGGGGTGACAGGAGGCCCGGGCACAGCCTGCAGGGAGTAGGGTGGGAGTTAGTGGGGAATGAGGATAGGAATAGGTAATGGGGGTTGGGGAGCGCGATTTCCCATCTTTCTCCATTGATGGGGCTCTCACATGATTCTAAAACAACCAGTTAGATAAAGAAATCCAGCCAAGAGACTTAACCAGAGTAGTTTTGTCTTTGAGCTAAATCGATTTTTATTTGCATATATACTTATATTATTGCACACACATATACTGCACACACACACATATATACATATTTACAAGCACACACACACACACAAATATGAGGTAGTGTGCACATTTTCTGTCTTTTTTCCCTGTCTTTGGTCATAGTGCTGGGGGAAGTTTTGTGTGCATATTCACCCACCGGTTTTAGTGATGTGTTTGAAACATTTTCTTTTATCTCCCTCCAGTCTCCCACTTCTCCTGGGTAGCTTTAAGCTATCTTCTCTCCTCTCCTTCCTTAACTTCCCACTTTCTTTGGTATTCCAGAGGGCAGAATCACTTTTCTCCCACAAGGCCTCAGGCGGCCCCCATCAGGCCCCTCCTTCCTTTGTTCCTGCTAAGTCCGCCTCTGGGGGCGTGGCTTGGCGAGGGCGTGGCTTGGCGAGGGCGTGACGAAGGGGCGTGGCTCCCGCCCGGCTCCTCTCGCGGCTGGCTGTCGGGTGCACTGACCTCATCTCACCGAGGTTGTTTAAGGACACAGTTCCCGGGTAAACCCTTCCGCTTCAGGAAGTAACCTAAATACTGCCAGTGCCAGGAAGCCTGCTCCCAGACCCAGCTCTGCGCTCAGGACCAGAGTTTTGCAACGGGCGTCCTTTGCTCCCGGTCTAAGAAATGCTTCCTGATTCATGAGATTTTTTTCTTTTCTTTTTTAAAAATAATTTTTATACATAGTGTACTGGAACTTTTTCAGCTTAGCTTGTCCAAACGCATTCGCACAGGACACCAGTTCAGCCGTGACACTGGAATCTCATGAAGAGCGGGCTTCATGATGGTGGGGAGAGGAAAGAGGTATAGGAAGGGTTGCTACCACCCATAATTTAATTATGAAGGTCTGTCTTCGGCCTTTGGAGACACACTGGAAATGCTTTCAGGAGGCAATCAGCTTTACTTCCAAAGAGCTTTTATAACTCCAACTTCCTAAACTGCTCGCGCGCGCTCTCTCTCTTTCTCTCTCTCTCTCTCTCTCTCACACACACACACAGAGTTATTCCAGGAAATAAGCTTGACTCCCAGTTTGTACTGTATTAAGCCTTTCCCATGATGGATTGTGAAAATAAGGAAGGCTTTCATTGGATCTCCAACGCCCACAGACACTCATTCTTCAGACCCTGAAGTCCTCCATGGCTGGAGAATGCTAGATGCCAAGCTAGTAAGAAAAATAGACTGCAAGAAAGGTTGTGCCCCATGTATATGAATACATACTCATTGCAGAAAAGAAAAAGCCCACAGAACTAAATAAAAGGAGCTACTTAAGCACTACTGACATTTTATATCTTTTTTAGCACTTCCAAATTTAATTTAAATTTTAGATACAGTTAACAGTACAAAAACTCAGAGGCCTAAAAGGTAACTAGAGGAAAGGAAAGTTGCTGTCTTCCATGTGGGCACATGTGCAAATGCACACACGTGCAAATGCACACGCACCCACACCCACTGATTGAACACAGGCCTTGAGCAAGTGCTCTACCAGTGAGCCACACCTCCAGCTCTTTTTGCTTTACTCTTCAGATATGATTCCCTGCTTTTTTGCCTGGACTGGCCTTGGACCACAATTCTACCTCTGCCCCCTGCATAGCTGGGATTATGATTGTGTGCTAGCAAGTATAGCTTGTCTTTTTTCTTCTTCTTCTTTTTCTCAGTCCTGGGGCTTGAAACTCAGGGCCTGAGCACTGTCCCTGAGCTCCTTTTTGCTCAAGGCTAGCACTCTACCACTTGAACCACAGCTCCACGTCCAGCCTTTTCTGTTTATGTAGTGCTGAATAATCCCAGGGCTTTGTGCATGCTAGGCAAAGCACTCTACTACTAAGCCACATTCCCAGCCCCTGGCTTGTCCTTTGAGAGAATATTCTTTTTTTTTTTTTTTGTCTAACCTGGACTGTCCACACATCTAGCCCCCAAAATCATTTTAATGGTAACTTTAAATATATTCTCTATACACACACTCACTCACACACACACACACACACACACACACACACAGGTCAGAACTTTTTTTCCCTCCATTTCTTAACTATTTTGGACATAAAAGATTATTAAAATTATAGTTGTGTATTTGTGATCCTTTCAAAGGTAAGTTGCATGACTAAAGTTTAAACATTTATGACTGAGAACATCAGCTATATGACTTAGGACAAAGCCATTACCTTTTCTGTATTTCCTTCAAGTTTTTTTTTTTTTTTTTTTGCTGGTCCTGGGCCTCAAACTCTGGGCCTGGGCACCATCCCTAAGATCCTTTTGGTCAAGGTAGCACTCTACCACTTAAGCTACAGAACCATTTAAGGAGTTTTCTGTGATTAACTGGAGATAAGAGTCTGTTGGACTTTCCTGCTTTGCTTGGCTTTGGACCTGCCCTGGCTGGCTTTGAACCATGATCCTGAGATCTCAGCCTCCTAAATAGTTAGGATAACAGGCGTGAGCCACCAGCCCCCGGCCAGAAAGTTCTTTTAAACTCACTTGGATACTACCTCTACATTTGGACACAAACGCTACATTTAAGAAACACTGAAGAAGCTCCTTTCAGGGAACATAAGAAAGCCTTCCTTCTCCAACTCCACATGTTTGTGTGGAACCAGATGTTTTCCATGAGCCAAAGCCAAAACATTTGCCCGCAGACTGAATGTAGGAGGTATGAAAATTGAGCCTTTCCCGTCCTTTGCCTCTTTTCTCCTTGCCTCTTGTTTTTGCTTCCTTCTCTTTTTCTCCAAATTTTTTTTTCTTTCATGCCATTACTGGAGTTTGAATTCAGGGTATCTCACTCTTGCTTATTTTTTCTGCTCAAGGCTGCAGCTCTACCATTTGAGTCACTCCCTTTAAGCCCAGACTGATAAAGCAGAGCTCCAGCCTTGGGTGGAAAATGCAGGGAAGAGCACAGGCCCTGAATTCAAGCTTCAGTATCACCAGACACAAATAAAAACCCCGTGAAACAATACTGCTTTTATATAATCTTGTTGTAGGGGAATTTTTTTTTCCAAGCAAAAAGGCTACTTGTTAATATATTATAAAGTAAAAATTTTAAAAGCTGCTTCAGCAGGGTGGCTGAGATCTGAGGATCACCATTCAAAGCCCACCCCAGGCAGGAAACTTTGTGAGACTTTTATCTCTGATTAACTACCTAAAAAAGCTGTAAGTGGGGCTGTGGCTCAAATGGTAGAGTGCTAGCCTTGAGTTAGCACAGGGGACAGCTGCCTAAACCTTGAGTTGAAGCCCCAGGACTATTATTTTTTTAAATTTATTTTTGCCATTTAATTTATTTTGCCATTTCCTAAGTCAGGTAATGAGAACATTTATTTTCAAGGACAATGTCACCCTTCCTGAGCTTCTTTGGCTCAAGGCTAGCACTCCACCACCTGAACCACAGAGCCACTTCTGGCTTTTCTGTTCTTGTAGTACTGAGGAAGAGGAACACAGTGCTCCGGCGCATGCCAAGACAAGCACTCTACCACTAAGTCACAACCCCAGCCCCAGGACTGACATTAAAAACGAACAAACAACACCCCCCCCAAAAAAATAAAACAACCTAAACTGCTTTAATTACTAATACAGTAAATAGCAACAGCCATGAACCCTTGAAAACTGGTTCCTGGGCACTAGGGGCTCACGCCTGTAATCCTTGCCACTCAGGAAAGCTGAGATCTGAGGATTATGGTTCAAAGCCAGCCCGGGCAGACTCTTCACCCCCACTTAACCCCCAGAAAACAGGAGGTAAAGCTGGGACTCAAGCAGTAAAGCGTGCGCCTTGAGCCAAAACGCTGGGACAGCACCCAGACCCTGAGTTCAAGCCCCACGGCCGACACAAACACAACAAAACCCCCCCGAAGGTGGTGAGACCCCCAAGTTTTCCTCTCCCCCCCATGCATCACCGAGGTCGCCAAGGCCTTCGGGCCTGCCCGAGGGAAGAGTTCAAACCCAGCCCGAAGCGCCTCACCCTGAACAAGAGGCTCTCTAAGGACACCCACAAAACCGGGGAGAGGGCCCGCCTTCGAAGACACCCCTAACCCCCCCCCACACCCCCAAACGCCCCGCCCTCCCTCCTCCCCTCCCTCGGGAGGAAAGAATCCCGGCCTGTTCCGAAGCGAGGCTGGCGGAGGGGCGGAGCTTCGCCGGCGCGGCGGCTCCCGGGACGCGGAAAGTAGGTCACGGAAGAAAAGCGTGTCCGTTTTTTTTACGACAGTGTCGCGCGCCACCGTGGGTTCCGCGTGCCGTAAAGGAGAGCTCAGAGCCGCCTGAGGGCTCCCGTAGGCCGCCGCGCAGCAGTCGAGAGTCCGCACCGCAGCCGCCGCGGCCTGCAGCCGGCGTTCGACTGGATTGGCCATGGCGGATATGGAGGATCTGTTCGGGAGCGACGCCGACAGCGAGGCCGAACGTAAAGGTGTGGTGGGCGGGGCTGGGAGGAGGGGTGCGCGGTGGGAGTTCCGGCCTGCTGAGGCCCTGAGGAGAGAGAGAAAGGCCGGGGGTGGGGGTGGGGTGGGGGTGTCTTTTTCTTCCCAGCGCCCCCTGCGTTCCTGTCCGTGGAGCGTGCGGCGCCGGCCTGCGCGGGGAGCAGAAAGGGGGCTTGTGGGAGAGGTAGGGGGGAGGCTGGGGCCAGCCGGGGCAGCTCTCCCCTCCTCCTCTCACTTCCACCATGAGAGGGGGAAGCTTGGGGTCCTGACCCGTCCTCTCCTGCACTGGTCAGCCCAGAGAAAGTGTGGATTCCGAGTGTGGGCCTAGCATGCCCCCCTCCTGAATGAAAGCCAGGGGCTGGGGTGGGGTAGGGGTGCGAGGAGCTGGGGTTGTCAGCATTAGGGGGTGTCTGGAGGGACCGCAAGGGTCGAACGACCTAGAGGGTTAAATCAGTGGGCCGTTAAGCCTTTCAGAAAACCTTTCAGGGCTTCTCGGGTCTGTGTGGTCAGATGGAAGAACTGATGGCTCTGTGTTGGCTGATGAATGAATGAATGAATGGATGGATGGAAGGATGGATGGATGGGTCTGTGTTGGCTGATGAATGAATGAATGGATGGATGGAGAGATGTATGAATGGGTCTGTGCTGGCTGATGAATGAATGGATGGAGGGAGGGATGGATAGATGGGTCTGTGTTGGCTGATGAATGAATGAAAGGATGGATGGAGGGATGGATGGATGGGTCTGTGTTGGTTGATGAATGAATGAATGGATGGATGGATGGTAGTAAATGGGTTTACGGGGCATGGAAGTACTCCTTCTGGGCACAGGTTTGTGGATACTGAAATTTGAAACGTTTTGTTTTGATTGTGCCAGGCCTGGGGATTGAACTCAGGGCCTGGGCTCTGTCCCTGAACCTTCAGGCTCCCACTCAACCACTTGAGCCACAAGCAACCACTTTTTGGCTTTTTTTTCTTTTGAGTAATTTTATTTATTTTTTAGTAAGTTATTAGAGATGAGTCTCACGGACTTTCCTGCCAGCTGGCTTTAAATCGGGATCCTCAGAGCTCAGCCTCCCGAGTAGCTAGGATTATAGGTGTGAGCCATTGGCGCCCTGCTGGAAATCTGAATAGAAGTTATTTGAAATGAGAAAGCCCCAGAAGACCAAGTTCGGAATTCTTGAAGATCTTCCTGGCTCAAAGTAGCTCATCTGTATTATCTCTCTTAGCAAAGTACATTACTGTATTTATTTATTTCTTCTCCAAGTCCAGTTTATTGGCAATTAATGAATGTAGTAAGGGAACCACACTAGGTGGAGATATAGAAAAGTGAATTCTGTGAAGTCATTACACAGGAGCCATTTAGGCAGTTGTTCAAGATAGGTCTGGAGAGCTGGGAATATGGCTTAGTGGTAGAGTGTTTGCCTAGCATGAATGAAGCCCTGGGTTTGATTCCTCAGTATCACATACTCAGAAAAGTCCAGAAGTGGTGCTGTGGCACAAGTGGTAGAGTGCTAGTTTTGAGCAGAAGAAGTCAGGAACAGTGCCCAGGCCCTGAGTTCAAGCCCCAGGACTGAAAAAAAAATAGGTTTGGAAAAGTGGATCCCTGTATATTAACTGTTCATTATTTTTGCTAATATTTTAATTTTTCTCTATCCTTTCAACGCACAGGTCTATGAACCTTGTCATACCATCTCATAACATCTATAAAGTTGCTCTTTCTTTCAATAAGAACTTACTGATCATTGTTGACCATGTTTCAACTACCTTGCTAGACATTGAGCATATAATAATGAGAATATCTCCTAATCTCTCCAAGCTTATACTCATGCTTAGTACATATTTAATAAATAATTGGATAGTTAGAAGCAATTGGTTAGTAAGGTGTACTCTGCAGTACTTTCCTATTGCCACATTGTGTACAGGGAAGTGAAGTGTGGAGATGTCTTCTGGGCTTTTTTTTTTTTTTTGTACTGGTACTAGGACTTGAACTCAGAACCTCACACTCTTGCTTGGCTTTTTGTCTCACGGCTGGTGCTCTACTATATCAGCCATGCTTCTGTTTCCATCTTTTTTGCTGGTTAGTTGGAGATGGAGTCTCTTTCGTTCTTTTTTTTTTCCCCCATCCCTAGGCTGGCTCTGTCTTGTAATTCTCAGATCTCAGCCTTCTGAGGGTTGATTATAGGTTTGAGCCTATAATATTATTATTATTATTATTTTTTGTCAGTCGTGGGGCTTGAACTCTGGGCCTGGGCGATATCCCTCAGCTCTTCAGCTGAAGGGGAGTGCTCTATTACTTGAGCCACAGCCTCACTTCTGGTTTTCTGAGTGATTTATTGAAGTTGAGAGTCTCAGAGTGGTTTGTTGGAGATGAGAGTCTCACAGAGTTTTCTCCCCACCTAGCTTTGAACCATGATCCTCAGATCTCACCCTCCTGAGTAGCTAGTGTTACAGGCGTGAGCCACCAGTGCCTGGCTATTATTTTTTAATCTTCTTTAATGTTCATTACAGTTTTCTTTCATCTTATCATTAAGTAAATGAATTCATTGGGATTTACTTTCCAAGGAGGATTATACGGGTGAGCTACTAGGGCCCAGCTTCATCACTGCATTTTATTATGACTGAATTTTTTTCTAGCATCGCTGTTTTGTTTTCTATCTTTTTTTTTGTTTTGTTTTTTGGTGCTAGTACTGGGGCTTGAACTCAAAGCCTCATGCTCTTGCTTAGCTTTTTCACTGGCAGTCTACCACTTGAACTACAGTTCCATTTCTGGCATTTTGCTGGTAAATTGGAGATAAGAGTCTTGGAATTTTTCTGCCTAGCCGCCTTTGAACTGTAATCCTCAGATCTTGACCTCTTGAGTAGCTAGGATTACAGGTGTGAGTCACCAGTGACTGGTGCTCCAATATTCTTTCTGCCTCCTTCATTTGGGACTCCATTATACTTGTGTCTGTACCCTCGCTGCTGTCCTTGTCCAGTTTTTTCCTGTAAGCTTTCTAGGCTCTGTTAACTTCTATCTTTTCTCATTTTGCCCCCTCCAGTACCTGTACCAGAAATGTGGGCTGTTACCTCCCAGGTAGTGTTGAACTAGGGAGTGGGGGGTAGGATCAAGTAAGCTAACTACTAAGGTTTTTTTTTTTTTTGAGACACATTCTCACAATTTAGCCCAGCCTGGCCTTGAATTTATGATCCTCTTACCTCCTAGCCTCCTGAGTACTTGAATTATGATCATGTGCTGCCACCCCTAGCTCACCAAGAACTCGGTTTTCTTTCTTTCTTTTTTCTTTTCTTTTTTTGATCGGTTGTGGGGCCTGAACTCTGGGCCTGGGCGCTGTCCCTCAGCTCTTCAGCTCAAGGCTAACGCTCTCCTACTTGAGCTACAGCACCACTTCTGGTTTTCTGAGTGGTTTATTGGAGATAAGAGTCTCACAGACTTTCCTGCCTGGGCTGGCTTTGAACAACGATCCCCAGATCTCAGCCTCCTGAGTAGCTAGGATTACAGGCATGAGCCACTGGTGCCTGGCTAAACTTGGTTTTCTTACTGAGGTTTAGCTGGCTTTTCTTAACTAAGCATTACCTGTTTTTTGTTTACAACTTTTTGTTTAGTCTCCAGAGTACTGAGAAGGTTGAGTTGATTCTAACAGGGTTTTTTGTTGTTGGTGGTGGTGGTTTTGTACTTGCTTTAATGTTGAGATGGGATTGTGGCAGTCCCTACTTTTGCTTTTTTGCTTACATTATCTTATGTTTTTGTGCTCTTGTAGACTCAGATTCTGGATCGGAATCCGATTCTGATCAAGAGAATGGGGCTTCTGGCCGCTCTAGTAATGCCTCCGGAAGTGAAAGCGACCAGGATGAGAGAGGGGACTCAGGACAGCCAAGCAATAAGGAACTATTTGGAGACGACAGTGAAGATGAAGTTGCGTCCCAGCATAGTGGCAGTGATAACCACTCAGAAAGATCTGACAATCCATCGGAGGCTTCTGAGCGATCTGACCATGAAGACAATGACCCCTCTGACGTAGATCAGCAGAGTGGCTCAGAAGCCCATCACGATGATGAAGACGAGGGTCACAGATCAGATGGAGGGAGCCATCACTCAGAGGCAGACGGTTCTGAAAAAGCTCACTCTGATGATGAAAAATGGGACAGAGAGGATAAGAGTGACCAGTCAGATGATGAAAAGATGCAGAATTCTGACGAGGAGGAGCGAGCGCCGGGATCTGATGACGAGGAGAAGGTGCAGAACTCAGATGACGAGGAGAGACCTCAGCTTTCCGATGATGACAGGCAGCAGCTGTCTGAGGAGGAAAAGGCTAATTCTGACGATGAACAGCCTGTAGCTTCTGATAATGATGATGAGAAACAGAACTCGGACGATGATGACCGACCACAGATGTCGGATGAGGAAAAAATGCAAAATTCTGATGATGAAAGGCCCCAGGCCTCAGATGAAGAGCAAAGGCATTCAGATGATGACGAGGAACAGGACCGTAAATCAGGTAATATGCTTCTGAGAACCACACAGTTTAGTAGAGGCCCCAATGGGGCCTCTCATTCCTTACCCTTTGTTTGTCTCTCTTGTCCCTGCATTTTGACTTTGCCTAACTGTCTACATTTTGTGTGTGTGTGTGTGCGTGTGCGTGCGTGCGCGCGTGCGCTTGTGCATGCAAGTGCACCAGTCCTGGCACTTGAACTTACATCCTCTCTCTTAGCTTTTCCACTCAAGGCTAGCTCTACCACTTGAGCCACAGCTCCATTTCTGCATTTCTGATAGTTAATTGGAGATAAAGTTTTACAGATTTTTCTGCCTGGTCTGGCTTCAAACCATGATCCTTAGATCTCAACCTTCTTAGTAGCTAGTAGATGTGAGCTACTGGCTCTATAATAATTATATATATATATATATATATATATAAATTAAAAAATTTGTATATATATATTTTTGTTAGTCATGGGGCTTGAACTCTGGGCTTGAACGCTGTCCCTCAGCTCTTCAGCTCAAGGTTGGCACTCTACCACTTGATCCACAGTGCCACTTCCAGTTTTCTGGTGGCTTATTGGAGATAAGAATCTCACAGACTTTCCTGCCCTGGCTGCCATCCTCAGATCTCAGCCTTCTGAGTAGCTAGGATTACATGTGTGAGCCACTGGTACCTGGCTAATAATTATATTTTAATCCTATCCTTTTTTTTTTTTTTTTTCTTGTCAGTTGTGGGGCTTGAACTTAGGACCAGGGTACTGTTCCAGAGCTTTTGCACTCAAGGCGATATATTTGTTTCTTGCTTTCCAGTAACTTTACCTGCTTCTATAATGTATCTTAAATAAATTTGGGCAAAAGTTTTAGTGCTAGTTTTCTCATTCCTACCAAGGTTTATTTATTTATTTGTTTTTTTCATTTTATCTTTTTTTTTTTTAGATAGGGTCTCAGTAAATAGCCCAAGGTGGCCTGAAACTCCTCATCTTCCTGACTCAGCCTCTTAATGCTTTAATGCTGGGGTTGTAGAGGTACATCTACATATACTGCTAAATTGGCTTCTTTTATTTAGCATAATATATTTTAGATTCATCCAAATGGTTATGTGTATCAGTAGGTCTTCTGCTATTTATTGCTATGTAGTATTCTATTGTATGGCTATACCACAGTTTGTTTATCTCCAGTGTTACTTTTCTAGCATATGATTTCAGAATTCTGATGTAAATCTGATTGTGCAGAGCCTCTCTTTATTTTGCAGACTCTGCCCGAGGTAGTGATAGTGAAGACGAAGTTCTACGGATGAAACGCAAGAACGCCATTGCCTCTGATTCAGAAGCAGACAGTGATACAGAAGTGCCAAAAGGTGCCCTTTTATTTCTTTCCTGTGTATGTTTCTGCACTGAAAGCGTGCACCCCTCATCCTGAGCGAAGTAGCCCAGACCAAGCTGATGGGAGAAGTTGCTTATGCCAAATCAGCTGGAGAGTGAATCCATTATTAGGAGGCTGAACCTATAATTGAGATGAAAACCACCAGGTTCATTCTTCACTTTAAATAATGACACTGGGTGTTGTTGTCTTCTTTAAAAAAAAAATTTTTTTTTTGAGCCAGCACTGGGGCTTGAACTCAGGGCCTGGGTGCTGTCCCCATTTGAGCCTCAGCTCTACTTCTGGTGGCTAACTGGAGGGTAAGAGTTTCATGGACTTTCCCACCCAGGCTGGTTTTGAATGGCAATCCTTAGATCTCAGCCTCCTAAGTTGCTAGGATTACAGGTGTGAGCCACCAGTGCCTGTTTTCATTATTAATTGGGATAGTAGAGGTGTTGTTCTCCCGCTCCTCATGTAGGCATGCCAGGCAGGGCTCTGAGAACCTGCTGCAGAGTCGGGTTCTAAGAATTTTCTGGCCCAGTTTCAGAAGCCTTGGAAATACTAACCCACTGCATTTCCCCTCTTGCACTGCAGATAATAATGGAACCATGGATCTGTTTGGTGGAGCAGACGATATATCTTCAGGGAGTGATGGCGAAGATAAACCACCTACTCCAGGACAGCCTGTGGTAGGTAAAATTACTAATGTGAGTTGGATATCTTATTCTACTTGAGGTAACAGGTTCCAAAGTGAAAGGTGTCCTGCTCCAAAACAGGATGTTGGTAACAGCATTATAGCATGCAAAGATGATGAACAGATGACTCTCAGTTGTGTTGAAGAAGCAGAGTTCAATATGAAGTGTTGCTATGCCCTAGGGGCCAAGACTGAGGCTCTGTGGAGACCTGAATATCGCAGTTCAAAGCCAGCCCATGCAGGAAAGTCTGTGAGACTCTTATCTCCAATAAACCACCAGAAAACTGGAAGTGGCGTTGTAGCTCAAGTGGTAGAATGCTCACCTTGAGCTGAAGAGCTGAGGGACAATGCCAGGCCCAGAGTTAAGCCCCATGACTGACCAAAAAAAAAAATTGTTAGAGGAACATCATATTGGAGCACTGATTGACTTTGCATTTCTCCTGATGAATATTTGAAAGGGAGACATCACAAGAGTTTTGTTTTTTTGTGCCCAGTACTGGGACTTGCTTGAACTCAGGGTCTCACTCTCTCTTGGCTTTTTTGCTCAAGGTTGGTGCACTTACCATTTAAACCACAGCTCCACTTCCAATAAAAGAGCTGTTTTCTAGTAGTGATATGTCTACCCTTGTCCCACGTTCCCTGAGCTCTTTGGAGGCAGTTGAGAAGTGATAGAGCTTGAGGCCTGTGAGCGCCTTCTTATCCCTAATGAGTCATCTGGATGTTTCTTGCTCACCTGAGTAAGATGTGGATATTGAACTAGGCCATTGCTAGGTCCTTTGAATGCCTAAAATTCTGTGATTCTTTCACCAGGATGAAAATGGCTTGCCTCAGGATCAACAGGAGGAGGAGCCAATTCCCGAGACCAGAATAGAAGTAGAAATACCCAAAGTAAACACTGACTTGGGAAATGACCTCTACTTTGTTAAACTGCCCAACTTTCTCAGTGTTGAGCCCAGGTAAGGAATTCAATTTTACAGTCTTCTCTGGACACCAAAGAGAAACACTTGGAAATTTGATTCTTCCTTCCTTTACATGGTTTTGACTAATCACAGAAGTGTAAAATTGCTTGTGTATTTGTGAAAAAATAAAGATACCCCTGAGATAGAAAAAATCTGAACTACTGTTAAGTTTTTGATGCCTGTGACTCTTCATATGAATTAACAGACATCACAAGTCTTCCAGACAGTGCTAAAGTTAAGTGACTAAATTTAATAGGGAAACTGTTGCTGTCCATTGTGGCAGCCATTCCTGACTTAGAAAAGCTAATTGTGTGCTGGGTGCCAGTGGCTCACACCTGTAATCCTAGTTACTCAATAGGCTGAGGTCTGAGGAAGTTGGAAGCCAGCTCAGACAAGAAAGTTCCTATGACTCTTTATCTCCAGTTAGCTTCCAAAAGGCCAGAAGGAGAGCTGTAGAAGTGGCACTGTGGCTCAAGTGGTAGAGTGCTCGGCTAGCACTGAAGAGCTCAGGGACAGCGCCCAGGCCCAGAGTTCAAGCCCTACGACTACCACCACCACCAATAACAACAACAAAAACAAAACCAGAAGTAGAGCTGTGGCTCAAGTGGTAGAGTGCTAGCCTTGAGGCCAGAAAGCTTAGGGACAGTACCTAGGCCCTGAGTTCAAGCATACAGAAATGGAGGGAGGAAGGCAGGGAGGAAGGAGGAGGCAGGGAGGAAGGAGGAGGGAGTGCAGGCTAAATGTGTTGGACAGTTAGATACTGATAGGTATCATGTACTAAGTTTATTATCTAAGCTAGACCCTTTGTGGCTTGATCTTCAGAAGACTTTATAATAACAATGAAGAACATTCTGAATACTTCGCTTGATCCTTATTTCAAGTATTATATATTGGCATCTTTTTTTGTTACTGATACTAGGACTTGAACTTAGAGCCTCAGGTTGTTACTTGGCTTTTGTACTCAGGCTGTCACTCTACCACTTGAGCCACAGCTCCACATCCAGCTTTTTGCTGTTCAGTTGAAGATAAGAGTCTGACAGACTTTCCTCCCCAGATTGGATTTGAACTGCAATCCTCAGATCTCAGCCTCCTGAGTAGCTAGGATTAAGTATGAGCTACAGGCACTTGTATACCAAATTTTAAGAATTTCAATGCAAATAATTCTTTGAAGCTGTCCATGAAGATATTTGACTATTGTGATTTTTAAAATTACGCTATGACTTTTCAGTATAATGGTGTATATTAATGAGACCTATAAGTACGTAATAATAATGCTCCTTATAAAACATGATTAATGTTTACTTCAAAAACAATTTGTAGACCTTTTGACCCTCAATATTATGAAGATGAATTTGAAGATGAGGAAATGCTGGATGAAGAAGGTAGAACAAGGTTAAAGTTAAAGGTAGTATTCTTTTTTTTTTTTTCTCTTGGTCATGGGGCTTGAACTCTGGGCCTGGGTGCTCTCCCTCAGCTCTTCAACTCAAGGCCTAGATCTCTACCACTTGAGCCACAGAGCCACTTCTGGTTTTCTGAGTGGTTTATTGGAGATGAGTCTCACAGACTTTCTTGCCTCGGTTGGCTTTGAACCATGATCCTCAGATCTCAGTTTCCTAAGTAGCTAGGATTACAGGCATGAGCCACTGGCACCCAGCTTCTTTTTTCTTCTTGAGTCTTATTTAGTGGTTGACAGGAGGCAGCAGTTACTAACTACAGACATGTACTGCTTTAAAGACCTATGAGGCTTTAATTTCATTCACAGTGCTGCTGTGTTCACTTTCTAAACCACAATCTTCAGATCTCAGCCTCTTGAGTAGCTAGGATTACAAGCATGAGCCAACCAGTAACCAGCCAAAAAGTCATATATATGTATGTGAATATGTGCATATATACGTACATATAATATACATATATATATATATATATTCCTGTTCTTAATCGTTATTTCTAGTTAGTGAAAGTAAGAGGGGTTCATTTCCTTAAGATATTTATATTTAAACAGGTAGAAAACACTATAAGGTGGAGGATCCGCCGAGATGAAGAAGGAAATGAAATTAAGGAAAGCAATGCTCGGATAGTCAAGTGGTCAGATGGAAGGTGAGCTGGAATGTGCCTGAAGAAGTGTTAAGTGCCTGAAGATGTATTAAGAGGGGAGAGGTTTTGGACTAGGGCTTTACTGGGGAGATGTGGAGGAGAGAGGTTCCATTAGTTACTCCCTGAAAACCTGGGAGGACTCAGCTGGACGTTGCTCAGTCTCCTGAGAAGACATAAACATGTGCCAGCATGTGCTCTTCCTCTTTAGATATGCAGCCTCTTGGGTGGGGGAGCAGGGAGAGGATGGAAAGGGATAGGAAGGGGAAACAAAGGAGGAAGCTACAATGCTTGATAAGAAATGTACTCATTATCTTGCCCATGTAATTGTAACCCCTCTGTACAGTATTTTCACAATGAAAAACAAAAAGAAAAAAGATATGCAGCCTCATCATAAATTATTTAATTTTGACATTTAGGAAAATCTTTCACTGGTAACATAGTAGAGGCTGGGCAAATGTCACAGTGCATTTTTCTTTGATGTAGTCAGTATATCCTTATCAGAATTTGTCTTTGTCCCTCCTATTTCTGTGTAAAGGAGAGACAGCGTTTTCAGTGACGTGAAATGGCAGAGCAAGGGCTTTTTGACTGTAATATGTGACATGTCTCCTCTCTCCTCCTCAGCATGTCTCTTCACTTAGGTAATGAGGTGTTTGATGTGTACAAAGCCCCCCTGCAGGGAGACCACAACCATCTGTTTATAAGACAAGGTACCGGTCTGCAAGGACAAGCCGTCTTTAAAACGAAACTCACCTTTAGGTACGTGTTCTCTGTCCTGTTTCCTTTCCTTGGGTGAAAGCTGTGGAATACAGTGAAGTTAATGTGTTTCTCTAATGAAGGCGTCCTCATTGATGTAACCCCATAGTGCAATCCTGTACATGTGAACATATAGAAAATGGTCAAAGGATGTTTTGCCAGGGATTCTGCAAGTTGTTTCCTCAGCCAAGCACTGGTAGCTCACACCTATAATCCTGCTTACTCAGGAGGCTGAGATCTGAGGATTGCACTTTGAAGCCAGGCTGGACAGGGAAGTAGGTGCGAATCTTATCACCAATTACCCACCAAAAGGCCAGAAATAGAACTATGGGCTCAAGTGCTAAAGTGAAAAAGCTAAAGGACAGTGCCTAGTCCTAGAGTTCAAGCCCCAGTATTTGCACGCAAGCACGCACGTACATGCACGCTCACACACACGTTTTCTCAGATACCTGGTCATGCTGAGCAGCCCTATAGGATACTTATATAAACCAGAAAGAACAGTGATTAGTTCCAGTGATTGCCATAAACGGCTCATATCTGCTGGGCAGTGCGGCCTTTCAGGAAAACTGATCCGGGGAATGGATGGCCAGAGCTTGGTGTGGACATAATGAGAGGCACTGAGCTGGTGAGCTGAGGCCTGAGGCCTCTCAGTGCCTCACGCTGGTGCGTCTGGTATTACTACCATGAAGACATGGCCCCTAGCAGACCAGAGCACCAGGCCTCCTGGCAAGGCCATCACCCTTCTCCAGATCGTGCTACTGTCTTTTCTTCAGTAGAAGTGGAGTATCCGTGGGAAATGCTTATTTTCAGAGAGATTCAGTAAGGCTGATTATAATTTAATGTTCTGAGAATTGAGGCTTGGGAGTCAGATCTGTATTTCAATTCTGTTTCTACTTGAGTGACTTTAGGCAACTCTCCTAATTTTAAAATGTGATGATTATCCATCGTGTAGCTGGGTCCTAGACAGTTTTTTCTGGTGGCTTCTTGCTTTGTGTGATGTGATGTGGGTTTGACAGGCCAACAGATGTATTTGGTAAACCATTTGGTTCCTTTCCTGGCAGGCCCCACTCCACAGACAGTGCCACACACAGAAAGATGACCCTGTCACTTGCAGATAGATGTTCAAAGACACAGAAGATCCGAATCTTACCCATGGCTGGGCGTGACCCTGAATGCCAGCGCACGGAAATGATTAAGGTATGTTGGCTAAGCTGCAGAGTGCTGGTGGCTCCCACCTGTAATCCTATCTCCTCCGAGGATCAGGGTTCAAAGCCAGCTCAGACAGGAAGTAGAACTGTGGCTGAAGTGGTAGAGCACTAGTTTTGAGCAAAGGAGCTCAGGGACAGCGCCAGGTCAAGCCCTAGTATAAGCAACCCCCCCCAAAAAAGACTAGTGTTTCTCCACATGTCCACTCATCATCTCCTGATGGCTGCCTCTCCCTGGCAGTTGACACCAGTAGGAGCTGGAGTAAATTCCTTAGTGTCTGTCACATGAAGACTGAGGTGTACGGGTGGACACAGGCCCTGGGAATTCAGCCACAAAACTGATGATAGGGGGCTGGGAAGGTGGCTCAGTGGTTAAAGCGCTTGCCTTGCATGCCTGAGGCCCTGGGTTCGATTCCTCAGCACCACATAAGCAAAAACAAAAAAAGCCGGAAGTGGCGCTGTGGCTCAAGTGGTAGAGCGCTAGCCTTTTTTTTTTTTTTTGTCGGCCGTGGGGCTTGAACTCTGGGCCTGGGCACTGTCCCTCAGCTCTTCAGCTCAAGGCAAGCGCTCTACCACTTGAGCTACAGCGCCACTCCCGAGCACTAGCCTTGAGCTGAAGAGTTGAGGGACAGTGCCCAGACCCAGAGTTCAGGCCCCATGACCGGACCCAAAAAAAAAACTGATGATAGGTATTTCCCAACTTCCACATAGTTCATCTATGTGTGATGCATATGCATCTCACACATCAGAAATGCTAGAGACTTAATTCAAAACAGAAGATACCAGCGGTTTGAAGAGAGATTGCTTAGTGTAGAATCCAGTTTGGTTAATTTTTTTTGTCTTTGGGTTTTGTGGTGTTGGGACTGAACCCAGGGTCTTGTGCTGACTAACATTACTACAGCCATTTACGGCTTAATGAAACCACTGTTGTGGAGAGGTTCTAGCAGCAGAGTTGGGTGTTGTTTATGATGACACCAAGCAACTGAATGAGGAAGACTTTGAAAAAGATATCAGAAAAGCCCTGACCGTAGTCCTCAATGCCAGATAGACACAGGAAATGAAGGCTGTGTTGTGTGGCCGGGGGACCTTACCCTATGGGACCTCCCTGTCCTCTTGTCAGGAGCTGTGGAGCACTCCGGGTTGAGGGCTGGACAAGAAGAATCTGGGAACCTTGGAAGTGTGATAGAGCCAGTACAGGTCAGGCATCCACAGCTCATGGGTGACCAGCAACAGAATCCCCTAGCCAGTCCTGATCGGGCTGGTCACCTGTGTATGTACTTACATTCAATGTACATGGAGAAGACATAAAAGATAGATGTGAGCATAAAAGGTAGGCATACAGGTAGGCATAAAACTAGTTGATTTTAAAAGAATGATCCAACACTGGTTTTTTGGTGTTTTTTGTTGTTGTTGACGGTCGTGGGGCTTGAACTCCTGGCCTGGGCACTATCCCTCAGCTCCTCAGTTCAAGGTGAGCGCTCTACCACTTTAAGCCACAGCGCCCTTTCTGGTTTTCTGATGGTTCATTGGAGATAAGAGTCTGGCATACTTTCCTGCCCAGGCTGGCTTTGAACTCCGATCCTTAGATCTCAGCTAGGAATACAGGCATGAGCCACCAGCACCTGGCCCTGGCATTTTTAAAATGCTGAATAGCATCTTAGTCTATTTTCTGTTGCTACAACTGAATTCCACAGACTGGGTAATTTATAAAGAACAGGCACCTAGCCAGGCATGGTAGGTAGTTCACACCTGTGAACTCCAGCACTTGGGAGGGTGAGATAGGAGGATTACAAGTTCATAGTGAGACAGTCAAAAGAGGGGATGTGGGGGAGCCCAGACAGATACAATCATGAAATTTCTTAAGCTGAAGGTTCTTTTTTGGTGTGCTGGTACTGGGACTTGAACTCAGGACCTAGATGCTATCCTTTAGCTTTTTTGCTTAAGGCCAGTGCTCTACTACTTGAGTCACACCTCCACTTCTGGCTTTTTGGTGGTTAATCAAAGATTAATCACCTGGGCTGGCTTTGGACTGTGATCCTCAATCTCAGCCTCCTGAATAGCTAGGATTACAAGCATTAGCCTCTGGCGCCTGGGTAGCTGTAGGTTCTTGTGGCTGGATAGTCCAAGAGGGCACATATTCAGGCATCTGGTGAGGACCTTTTTGCTACCCCACAGCATGGTGGATGGAGAGACACAGCAGGAGAGAAGGCCTGCTTTTATAACAGAGCCCATCATGCTAACACACCAGTCTGTGAATGCACAAGTGAAGCTGCGGGCAGATCCACTCCTGAGGACACAACTTCATTAGATCACCTCCAAAAGCGTAGCTGCCAAAGCCCCCTAATAATGGCTGACATTGGGGGTTGCATTTCCAACACTGTAAATGGATCTGCACCTGTCACCAGCACTCGTGATCGAATGGACTTTATTCACACAAATCAGTAGAGAAAACAGTTTTCTCTGCGACATCTGGCACTGAATAAACTAGAAAAATTATTGGTGGAAAAAAGAAATCTGGAAAACGGCTTTGTTATTTCTTCACAGAAAGAAGAAGAGCGTCTGCGGGCTTCCATCCGAAGAGAATCCCAGCAACGCCGGATGAGAGAGAAACAGCACCAGCGGGGGCTGAGTGCCAGCTACCTGGAGCCCGATCGCTATGATGAGGAGGAGGAAGGCGAGGAGTCCATCAGCCTAGCTGCCATCAAAAACCGTTACAAGGGGGGCATTCGAGGTGAGTGCAGGATTTTATCATGTCCTGAACTTTGTCTGAGTTTATCTGTGAGTGCTGACTCCCTGGACAGTTGGTCTGTTTTTTTTTTTTTTTTTTGGTCGGTTGTGGGGCTTGAACTCTGGGCTTGGGCGCTGTCCCTCAGCTCTTCAGCTCAAGGCGAGTGCTCTACCGCTCGAGCCACAGCACCACTTCCAGTTTTCTGGGTGGTTTATTGGAGATAAGAGTTACATGGACTTTCCTGCCCGCGCTGGCTTTGAACTGTGATCCTCAGATCTCAGCCTCCTAAGTAGCTAGGTTTACAGGCATGAGCCACCGGCACGGCTCAGTTGGTCTGTATTTAAAAAATCTGCTGAGTGTTGCTTATGCCTGTAATCTAGCTACTCAGGAACCTGAGATCTGAGGATGACAGTTTGAAGCCAGCCCAGGCAAAAAGTCCCATGAGACTTATCTCTAGTTAACCACTCAAAAACCAGAAGCAGATGGGGCTGGGAAGGTGGCTCAGTGGTAGAATACTCGCCTCGCATGCATAAGGCCCTGGGTTCGATTCCTCAGCACCACATAAACAGAAAAAGCTGGAAGTGGCGCTATGGCTCAAGTGGTAGAGCATTAGCGATTAGCCTTGAGCTGAAGAGCTGAGGGACAGCGCCCAGGCCCTGAGTTCAAGCCCCACAACCAACAAAAAACAAAAACAAAATCCTGTGTTAAGGTTCACTTCTTGACCTTTTTTCAAGGTGTGTGTGTGTGTGTATGTTTTCTCAGTACCAGCATTTGAACTCAAGGGCCTTTCTCTTAACTGATGTTCTACCACCTGAGCCATGCCTCCAGCGTGACATTTTGCAAGTTAGCTGGACATGGAATATCTTGGAATTTTCTGCCTGATCTGGCTTTGTACCTTCTCTGACAATCCTATCAAACCTGATTCTTTTTTTTTTTTTTTTTGCAGTGACTATTTGGTGACCTGTTAGATCCTACACATTTGTTACTTATTTGGCGACTATATTAAGTAAGGTTCATTTAGAAATGAAGGGTTTATCCAGTTTATCAGGGATTAAAAAAATTAATATAGTTCACTAGTGCACAGATTTTTGTGTGTGTGTGCTGGTCCTGGGACTTGAATTCAGGGCTTGGTGCTATCCCTGAGCCACCTCCACTTCCAGCTTTTTGGTGGTTAATTGGAGATAAGAGTCTTACAGACTTCCTGCTCAGGATGACTTTGAACTACTATCTTCAGATCGCAGCATCCTGAGTAGTAGCTAGGACTATAGGCATATGCCACTGGCCCTCAGCTTTGTCGTGCCCAGTTTTATGCAAGAGTCAGCTAAGCAGTAAGTGTGGAGTTGGGCAGCATTATATTCAGAAAGGCTGAGTCTGTTCCATTTCAAAAGACTTAAAACTTTTCTTTGCCTGGGAATGTGGCTTAGTGATAGTGTGTTTGCACAGCATGCATGAAATCCCTCGGTTCATATCTCAGTACCACATACACAGAAAAAGCCAGAACTGGTACTGTGGCTTAAGTGGTAGCCTTGAGCAAAAGCAGCTCAGGGACAGTGCCCAGGCCCTGAGTTCAAGCCCCAGGACTGGCAAAACAAAAACAAAAGCCATCCGTTTCCCCCCCAGTGTTGAGGATGAACTCAGGTCCTCTTAGTGGCAAGCACTCCCTTAGTCTTGGGCTAAACTTTTCCCTGTACTAGCCTGGAGCCTCTTTTTACCTCTGACTCCCAAGTAGCTGGTGATTCCAGGCATGTGCCATCATGCCCTGTTTGTTTTTTGAGATAGGGCGCATTAATTTTTGTCTTGGGTTGGCCTTTCACAGAGGTCTTCCTAACCCTATCAAAGCCTTAAAACTTAATCTTGAAATTAAAACTATTTTCTTGTATTGGTTGTGGGGCTTGAACTCAATCCTAGGCACTGTCCCTGAGCTCTTTCTGCTCATGGCTAGTGCTCCACCACTTTGAGCCACTTCCATGTTTTAGTGATTAATTGGAGATAAGAGTCTCACCCACATTTCTTTGGCTTTGAGTCATGATCCTTAGATCTCAGTGATTTGAGTAGCTAGGATTACAGGCATGAGCCACCAGCCCTGAAAAACTTTTTTTTTTCTTTTTTCTTTTTTTTGTCAGTCAACTCTGGGCCTGAGCGCTGTCCTTTAGCTCTTCAGCACAAGGGTAGCGCCCTACCACTTGAGCCTAAGTACCACTTCGGCTTTTTCTGCTTATGTGGTGCTGAGGAATCGAACTCAGGGCCTCATGCATGCAAGGCAAGCACTCTACCACTGAGCCAACTTTCCAGCCCCTGAAAAACTTCTTACATTATCTGGTTCCTCTTGGAAAAATGAAGGAAACAGAGGAAAAAATCCACAAAATGAATAAACAGATCATTCAGCACTCTTGAAAGTAAGTCAGTTGACTTCATTTGCTTTCAGAGGAACGCGCCAGAATCTATTCCTCGGACAGCGATGAAGTATCAGATGAGGAAAAAGCTCAGAGATTGCTTAAGGCAAAGAAACTCACCAGTGATGAGGTAAGTCTCGTGGATTCACGCTCAGCTCGGGAGCTGGCTCTGGCAATGAAGCAGCAATAACAAATAGTTTCCAACTCACTGGGGTGGCAGGATTTGGGCTGCACTGGGTCCTGCAGGGCTGCGTGGAGACCTCTGGGGGGAACTGAGCAATAGTGGAGGATTGTGGCAGCTTCTCAAGGTTACTCAGCTCCAGGTAGGTGGAAGGAAATAAAAAAAGGTTGAATTAGGAAAGGTTTAGGCCCGGAGACAACACTACCTGTGCAGAGATAAGTCATTCGGCTGGGAGGGTCAGAGGTCACCTCTTCTCTCTTTCTTTGTATTCTAATGACAAGGTCATTTATTCTTACCTTGGCAAAACCTGTTTACTTTTTAGTTTCAATGACTATTAAGCCATTCAACAAATTAAAATGTCCATTTGTGATCAGAATAAAAATTTCCAAGTAATAATTACTAATTGAACTCAGGGCCTTGTGCTTGCTAGGCAGATGCTTTACCTCTTGAAGCACTCAGCCAGCCCCATTTTCACATCAGTTATTTTCACAATAGGGTCGCACGTTATGCCCAGGCTAATAGTGAGTCCCCACATTGCTGGGATGGCAGGTGTGTGCCACCACACTCAGCTTTTATGTTTACCCCATAGCTGGAATGACAAGTACACACCACTTTGCCCAATCTTTGGTTAAGATGAAGTCTCACAAACCCTTTTTTGAGGGGGTAGGGGTGAGAGGCCTGGAGTGGCCTGGAACCATGATCTCCCAACCTCCACCTCCGGACTCATAAGGATTATAGGCTTGACCCACTGTGCCTGGCTTCAGCTGTTTTCTTTGAATATTTTTTCTTCTGTTTCACATATGTGTATCTGCGGTCTGATCAAGTTCATGTTTGCAGGGGACTTTTTTTTTTTTTTTTGGTTGGTCATGGGGCCTGAACTCTGCACCTGGGTGCTGTCCCTCAGCTCTTCAGCTTCAGGCTAGCACCCTACCACTTGAGCCACAGCACCACTTCTGGCTTTATTCTGCTTATGTGGTGCTGAGGAATCAAACCCAGGGCCTCATGCATGCAAGGCAAGCACTCTACCACTGAGCCAACTTCCCAGCCCCTGCAGAGGACTTTTTGAGGCCTGTCTATAGTATTTATTCTGCTCCCAGTGGGCTTAAGGCTTTTTTTTTTTCTTTCCTGATTCTCCCTGTTGAGCCTGTTTGGCCTATGGCTTTGCTCTTTGCTCTAAATTTAGAGGAGGTGGCTTTTTTCAAGAGTATGCTTGGGGGGCTGGGAAGGTGGCTCAGTGGTACAGTGCTTGCCTTGAGCTGAAGAACTGAGGGACAGTGTCTAGGCCCAGAGTTCAGACCCCACGACTGACCAACAAAAAACACACAAAAAAAAGAGTACCCTTGGGCTCAATTTCTACATTTTTCAAGTAGTTCCCTTGGGAAGAATTTGGAGCTCTTTTCCCATAGCCTGCCTCTTCCAGGCAAAACCTCCGAGCCTCTCCTGGCAGGGCATCTTTCCCTTCGTGGGGGGGGTGCCAGGGTGTGAGCGATCAGGACTCCACTGTCACTACACTTGGCGCAGAGCCTTGATCCTGTGGACGGACGCCAGGCCAACTTCCCACATTCTTCCTACTTCATGGAAATGCAGTCATTCAGCTTGGAGCTGGGGAGTCTGAAAGTTTCCCTTCCCAGAATAACTAGTTAGGCCTTGATTGGGAATTGAGAGGAGTGTGATTTGGCCACACTCTCCCAGTGGTAGAGCTTCTGAAGCGGGGAGGGGGGAAGGGAGAAGCTGCAGACTCAGTCGCATAGGTTCTCACTGTTGGAGTTTCCAGGAGATTTTCCTGGATTATGGTTTCTTCGTTTGTTGTACTAACCTTAGCATAATTTCAAAAGATTTAAAAAAAAATGTTTCCTCAGTTTTTTGTGTTTTTTTTTTTTTGTTGTTGGTCATGAGGCTTGAACTCTGGGCCTGGGCGCTGTCCCTGAAGGTCTTCAGCTCAAGGCTAGTGCTGTCCCACTTTGAGCCACAGCACCATTTCTGGTTTTCTGGTGGTTAATTGGAGGTAAGAGTCTCAAGGGGACTTTTCTACCCGGGCTGGCTTTGAACCGTGATAATATTCAGATCTCAGCCTCCTAAGTAGCTAGGATTACAGTGCTCAGCCTCCCCCCAGTTTTGTTTGCTTGTCTGTGGATTTAGTGGATCTGTGCAATTCCTAATGCTGCCATCTTGGGTGTCCTGTCATTTTTTCACTTTTTCTTTTTTGTCAGTCATGGGGCTTGAATTCAGGGTCTAGGTGCTGTTCCCTGAGCTTATTTTGCTCAAGGCAAGCATTCTACCACTTTGAGCTACAGCACTGAGCCACAGTGCCACTTCCTGTTTTCTCACGGATTTTTCTTCCTAGGCTGGCTTTGAACTGCGATGGGTCTCAGCCTCCTGAGTAGCTAGGATTACAGGCATGAGCCACCAGCGCCCGCCTTTTTTTTCTTTATTGAAGTATTGGAATTTGTGAACTCAAGGCCTCGTACTTGGTGGGCAGACACTCTACTGCTGAGCCACACTGCCAGGTTTTTGTTTTTTTGCCAGTTCTTTTTTACACTGATTAATTTTACACTGATTAATTTTCTGCCTGGCATACACCTGGACTGTGATCCTCTTCTATTTACATATATCATATATATCTGTATGTATTATATAGAGAGAGCTGTTTTCCTGCTAGTGGTAGTACTAAAACTGTGTAACTTCTAAATCTAACTTTAAAGATGACTATCCTTAGCTGGGTGCCGGTGGCTCACTCCTGTAATCCTAGCTACTCAAGAGGCTGGGATCTGAATATCTTGCTTCAAAGCCAGCCCAGGCAGGAAAGTCCATGAGACTTTTATCTCCAATAAACCACCAGAAAACCAGAAGTGGCGCTATGACTCAAGTGGTAGAGTGCTAGCCTTGAGCTGAAGAGCTGAAAGACAGCACCCAGGCCCAGAGTTCTAGCCCCATGACCAACCAAAAAAAAAAAAAAAATGTGGCAGTCTTAACAGGTGCTTGTAGCTCACGCCTGTAATCCTAGCTAATCAAGAGGTTGAGATCTGTGGATCATAGTTTGAAGCTAGCCCAGGCAGGAAAGTCTGAGAGACTCTTATCTACAATAAACGACTCAGAAAAAGCTGGAACTAGTGCTGTGGCTCAAGTGGTAGAACACTAGCCTTGAGCAACAGCAACTCAGGAACAGTGCTCTGGCTCAGAGTTCAAGCCCCAGGACCAGCCCCTCATCTCTACCACCACCCCAACACCTCCCCCCCCCCGCAAAAATAAATAGCGATGGCTGTCCTAATGGCCTTACGTAATGTACTCAACCTTGGTCTTCTGTCCCCCCTACCCTAAAAGGCTCAGCTCCAGTTAGGAAAGTCAGAGGAGATGGCCTGCTTCAGTGCTCCACGTACCTCTAGGTTCTGGTTTTGACTGAATTTTTGGTCTCTGATTATACTTTATTTTCTGACTCCCATATTGATTTGTTTTATTGTCTCCATCTTTGCCAAGTATTTCCAGTGCGAGGGTGATTAAGAGTGTGGGGCCATATGGAGGAAATGGGTATTATGTTCCTGTTAGCGAAGCTTTGAAACTGTTTTGATCATTTTAGCTTTATGATCTCTTCTCACGTGAAGCAGAATTCTGCTCCTAAGGTCACTGATTACACATTTAGTATTTCCTAGTCACTCTTGGAAGTGGCACGTCATGGAAGACAACTAGACAAAATTTATTATGTTATTCTATAGCCTATTTGTTTTAAATAAGTTGACATGTTTATAGTGTGTTGAGCGGTTGGCAAACAAGCCCTCATCTGAGCAGATGCCATTCATTTCTTGGCAAGCAGTAACTGAACGAAAATTGAGAAATGCCATGGGACTCTGTTTATTCCCAGAAATGAGATCTTTTATTTCTTCCTTTTTTTCCCCACCCCCCAAAAAAAAGATTCATCTAGCCAGGCACTGGCTGGTGGCTCACGCCTGTAATCATAGCTAGATAGGAGGCTGCTGAGATCTGAGGATTGTGGCTCAAAGCCAGGCTGGGCAACAAAGAACATGAGACCCTTATCTCTAATAAGTGAAGTGGAGCTATGGCTCAAGTGCTAGAGGGCCAGCCTTGAGTGAAAAAGCTAAGGGACAGTGCCCAGGCCCTGAGTTCAAGACCCATTACTACATTTAAAAAAAGTGGGTTGGAGCCATGACTCAAGTGGTAGAGTGCCAGCCAATGAGCAAGAGGAAGCATCAGATAGTGAGTTCAAGTTCTAGTCTTGGGCAAATAAGATTTATCAGAGACTTCCTTTGTAGGCTGGACAATTATAAGTGTGCCCCCCTGCAAATGATCTCCCTGCCATGTATCCTAGAAAATACACTCCTGTGATTTGTGTACTCCCCTTCTCCCCGCCAAAAATGCCAGGATCGGGGCTGGGAAGGTGGCTCAATGGTAGAGCGCTTGCCTTGCATGCCTGAGGCCCTCGGTTCGATTCCTCAGCACCACATAAGCAAAAAGAAAAAAGCCGGAAGTGGCTCTGTGGCTCAAGTGGTAGAGCACTAGCCTTGAGCTGAAGAGCTGAGGGACAGCGCCCAGGCCCAGAGTTCAGGCCCCACGACCGGACCCAAAAAAAAAAAAAATGCCAGGATCCTGATATGAGTCTGAGGTACAGGGCACTTTACAGACCCCCAGGTCCACATAGCAGAGAACAGCCATTGTGGCCAGAGCAAGCCTTGGCGTGGGAAAAGGCCTGTGTACACATAGGGAGCTGGGAGGTTGGATTTTGGTGCTCTTCTCTCCTGTTTGATGTCCTTGGGGGAATCAGCTCACTTCGGAGATTTTCCTCATCTCTTCACTCACTGAACTGTAAAGTTTGTGTATTTATGGTGAATAACAGATGCTGGTGTGGGGGACCGATGATTGGCAGCTGCTAAGGAAATGTTCCTTCTTTACTTACCTTTTTGCACTCAAAGTTGGTGTTCACAGCTCCATTTCTTGCTTTTTGTTGGTAATTGGAGATGAGTCTCTTCTATTTGTATGCCCAGGCTGGCTTTGAACCTGAATCCTCAGATTCCAGTCTCCTGAGTAGCTAGGATTATAGGCGTGAGCCATTGGTGCTCAGCTGTGATATAACATCTTGTCCCTGAGAGGACAAGCCACAGACCAGGAAAAAACTGGATGGAACCGGTTGCATTCTTCAAGTGTCATATTTGATATTGACGGGCATTGGTACTATAAATATATTGATAATTTGAGTATTAATTTCTTCCCCATGGAAGAGAGGAAGAAATACTCAGAGTTACTTGCTCTATTAGAAAGGTGGACACAATTATTATTATTATTATTTTGGTTAGTCCTGAGGCTTGACTCAGGACCTGAGTGCTGTCTCTGAACTCTTTTGCTCAAGGCTAACAATCTACCACTTGGAGCCACAGCTCCCAAGTTTTCTGGTGGAGATAGGAGTCTCACAGACTTTCCTGCCTGGGCTGGCTTTGAACTTCTATTGTCAGATCTCAGCCTCCTGAGTAGCTAGGATACAGGTGTGAGCCACTAGCGCCCGGCCAGAATGATTTTAAGTACAGGAAATGTGTATAGTAGAAGGCCTTTAATTTCTTCAACTATTTTCTTAAAATTCTTTATGATATTTTTATCATAAACCGCAAAATATTATTTAAGCACTGACAAAGCCAGGTGCTACTCTTCCTTCCAATTAGCCACCAGAAAACCAGAAGTGGAGCTGTGGTTCAAAGTGGTAGAGTGTTAGCCTTGAGCAAAAGAGCTCAGAGACAACACCCAGGTCCTGAGTTCAAGCCCCATGAGCAACCAATCAATAAATACATAAATAAAGCACTGATAGCCTGGGGTACTGGAGGCATGGCTTACGTGGTAGAGCACTTTAGACAAGCAAGTATGAGGCCCTGAGTTCAAGCCCAGTTCCACACACACAAGTTGACATTCTTTAGGATAACTAATTTTTTTTTTTTGTCGGTTGTGGGACTTGAACTCTGGGCCTGGGCGCTGTCCCTCAGCTCTTCAGCTCAAGGCGAGCGCTCTACCACTTGAGCTACAGCGCCACTTCCGGTTTTTCTGGTGGTTTATTGGAGATAGGAGTCTCACGGTCTCTCCTGCCCGGGCTGGCTTTGAACCGCGATCCTCAGATCTCAGCCTCCTGAGTAGCTAGGATTACAGGCGTGAGCCACCAGCGCCCGGCTTAGGATAACTAATTTTAACTAATGAGGTTAACTGCTGAGGAAGCAGAGGTTAATGAGGTTGCTCATTATCTGCTCATGGTGAAGCAGGACCCGTGGTTCCACAGGCAGAGCTTTGGGGAAGGCTTGCATCTTCCCAGGTGAAGCCCGCGACCTGCATCTCCATGACCTGCATGTGCAGTTTCCTAGAAGACACTTCGGGGTTCATAGTCAGCTTTTAAATTAACTTGGCAAACTCACTGCCCCTAGGTACAGTCCTTAGCACTGGAATTTAAATAAAAGAAAGAGAATGACTTTTTGTTGTTGTTGGTTGTAGGGCTTGAACTCTGGGCCTGGGCGCTGTCCCTGAGCTCTTCAGCCCAAGGCTAGCGCTCTACCACTTTGAGACACAGCTCTACTTCCAGTTTTATGGGGGCTAATTAGAGATGAGAGTCTGATGGACTTTCCTGCCCCCTGAGTAGCTAGGATTACAAGCGTGAGCACCTGGCTGAGAATGACTTTCTTTTTTTTTTTTTTTTGGGTTCCGTCATGGGGCCTGAACTCTGGGCCTGGGCACTGTCTCTCAGCTCTTCAGCTCAAGGCTAGCGCTCTACCACTTGAGCCACAGCGCCACTTCCGGCTTTTTTTCTTTTTGCTTATGTGGTGCTGGGGAATTGAACCCAGGGCCTCAGGCATGCAAGGCAAGCGCTCTACCACTGAGCCACCTTCCCAGCCCCCAGAATGACTCTTAATGAATGCAGATCTGAACACTGGCCATGACCTTTACCAGTAGTTTTATTTACCGAATGAGTTTTTCAGTGCTGCGATTAAACCAGGAAACTCTCAACAGTCACTGTACCATAGAGGTCCATCACCAGCCATGGTGAAAGTTCTTTACTAAAAGTTACTTTGGACCGGGCAGTAGTGGCTCACACCTGTAATACTAGCTATTCAGGAGGTGTGGAGGCAGGCAGAAAAGTTAGTGAGGCTTTTCTCTAAAAAAGCTAGGCTAAGGCATGGCTCAAGAGGTAGAGCACCAGCCATGCAAGGAAGCCAAATAAATTCAAGCAAGGTTCTGAGCTCACACTTTGGTCAGTAACTGTTCTAGTTATCCATGCAGTCAGTGCAACCCAGCGCTTGGGAGACAGAACTAGGAAGAGCTCCAGTTTCACTCCAGCCTGGGTTACATAGTGAGTTCCTTTCTTGAGAAAAGTTACTCTGGATTTGCAGAAGGTCATTCAGCTCTGAGATACTTTTGACAAACCATTCTTGAAATGTTCTCTTAACTTGGAGATATTTTCAATTTTATCTGTGTAGGAAGGCGAACCTTCTGGAAAGAGAAAAGCAGAAGATGATGATAAAGCAAATAAAAAGCATAAGAAGTATGTGATCAGTGATGAAGAAGAGGAGGAAGATGACTGAAGTAAAAACCATGAAAACATTTTATAAATTTTACTGTACAGTTTGTTTTATAAATATGATGTAAACATGAGTTATTTTGGTTGCAATGAATTGATCTTCCCTTTTGTGTAATTTTAATTGTAATAAAAAAAGTTTAAAAAAAGTTTAAAAAAGTTTTAAATGCAAGTCTTTGTGGTTAAGAAATCTATTTTTTCACTTAGGGATTCAGTTGAGGACCTCAAGCTTGCTAGGCAGGTGCTCAACCACTTGAGCCAAGCCTCCAGCCCAGATTTTTTGTTTTGCTAGTCCTGGGGCTTGAACTCAGGACCTGGACACTGTCCCTGAGCTTCTTTTGCTCGAGGTTACTACTCTACCACAGCACCACTTCTGGCTTTTTGGTATTAATTGGAAATAAGTATTTGAAGGACTTTCCTGCCCAGACAGGCTTTGAACCACACCCTCAGGTCTCAGCCTCCCCAGTAGCTAGAATTACAGCTATGAGCCACCTGTGCCTGGCCTTCCATTTGTGTTTGAACCAGGAAGAAAATACTATTTGACGGGGGATCAATGGGATGAAAAAGGAATAAAAGTTAAAGCAATGTTTGAAGTGGTTTTATTTTTTTTTTTTCAGTCGTGGGGCTTGAACTCTGGGCTTGGGCACTGTCCTTGTAACTCTTCAGCTCAACGTTAAGCGCTCTTTTTTTTTTTTTTTTTTTTTGGTTCCGGTCGTGGGGCCTGAACTCTGGGCCTGGGCGCTGTCCCTCAGCTCTTCAGCTCAAGGCTAGCGCTCTACCACTTGAGCCACAGAGCCACTTCCGGCTTTTTTCTTTTTGCTTATGTGGTGCTGGGGAATTGAACCTCATGCATGCAAGGCAAGCGCTCTACCACTGAGCCACCTTCCCAGCCCCTGTATATCACCTTCATAATAACAATTTTTTAAAAAGCAAAAAAAGCAATGCCCAGATAGTGAAGTCCGACAGGAGGTGCTCCTGACCATGCCTGAGGAGGGCTGAACACTGCACAGAAGGCCTGGATGAATGACGATTGCTATGTAGGACCTTATTTGGGGGTCAGTGTCATTCAAGGCAGAATCTGGGATATACACTGAGACTTGCAGCTGAGATCTGACACAAAGATTAACATGTCTGCCTGGTTGCTGTGAGAAACTATAAAGCTTACTTTTGTCTGCCAGTTGGCAGACATTATCAATTTTTTTTTTTTTTTGGTCATGTGGCTTGAACTCTTGGCCTGGGCGCTGCTGTTCCTCAGCTCTTCAGCTCAAGGCGAGCTCGTACTTGAGCCACAGCGCCACTTCAAGTTTTCCAATAAACCACTAGAAAACTGGAAGTGGTGCTATGGCTCAAGTGGTAGAGCGCTTGCCTTGAGCTGAAGAGCTGAGGGACAACACCCATGCCCAGAGTTCAAGCCCCATGACAAACAAAAAAGAAAATAAGAAAAAGAAATTACAAAGCTTATTCCTGAAGATGGAGGGAAGACAGGCACTTCTGAAAGTACTAGTCATGCTGGATGTCTGTGATATAAGGATCCTGCTTTGAAGCCAGCCCTGGCAGGAAAAGTCTATGAGACTCTTATCTCCAATTAACCATCAAAAAGCCAGAAGTACAGGTGTAGCTCAAGTGATACGAGTACCATACTTGAGCAAAAAAGAAAAATGTACCAGGTAGCCCCTAGGTCCTGAGTTTAAGCCCCGGTACCAGTCCATAGAAAAGTACAACTCTATATGATACTTAATAAAGTTTGAAGTGATTTATTCTCATATATAGCAATAGCATTAAGTTCTACATGCCTATGTTATTTATCAGGGCTATAAAATTCACTGCTTTTAGCTGGGCACTGATAGCTCATAACTATAATCCTAGATACTCAGGAGGCTAAGATCTAGAACCATAATTTAAAGCCAGCCAGAGCAGAAAAGCCTGAGAGATTCTTACTTGAAATTAACCACCAGAAAACTGGAAGTGGAGCTGTGGCGCCAAGCGGTAGAGCACTAGCCTTCAGCAAAAGATCTCAGGGTGGCACTCAGCTGCCACCACTACCACCACCACTAGCAACAAAGGCTGGGAAGGCGGCTTGATGGTAGTGTTTGCCTGGCATGCAAGAAGCCTGGGTTTGAATCCTTAGTACCACATACATAGAAAAAGCCAGAAGTGGTGCTGTGACTCAAGTGGTAGAGTGCTAGCCTTCAGCAAAAGCAGCTCAGTGCCCAGGCCCTGAGTTCAAATCCTAGGACTGGCAAAAAAAAAAGTTGCTTTTATACTTATATTATTGTAAGGTAACTCAAGCATAATTACAATCCAAAAGACTGAAAAAAAAGTGTATTTTTATATTACAAAGATTTTTATGCTATTGGTGTGCAGTTTTTAAAAACGCTTTTAGAAGAGGTAAGGGAGGGCACAAAAATGGACAAAGGTTGGACAAACACAGTAGTGGTACTGACTAGACACTATGTTGAAAATGAACTACACAACTTGTGAGTGGGGATTAAAGGGAAAAACTAGGAGAGAATGAAGGAAGGAGTGACACTGTCCAAAAAGAAATGTACTCGTTACCTGATGGTAACCCCTCTGGTATATCACCTTTATAAAAACAATTAAAAAAAAAAAACTTTTACAGACTATTCTAAAAATCTGAAACAACTGAGTCAAATAACTTACCTTTCACTAAGGTGATACACACCTGTAGTCCCAGCTACTCTGGAGGCTGAGCAGAAGGATAATGTGAGTCTAAGAGTTGCAGTCCAGCCTGGGTATCACCAGGACACTTGTCTCAAAAAACAACCAATCAACCCAACAACAAAAAACCCTGTACCACAAAAACCTTATGTCTGAGTTTATCATATGTGCTTTGCATCAATTAGAACATACCGGCAGTCTGCACCTGCTGTGTATAGAAGAATGTTGATGGATTATCTTAAGTAAAATGCAAGAACTTCAAAGGTGACTGGTGGTATTTCTTAACTATTATAATCTATTTTTACCTCGATCTAAAGCAGCTGTCCTCACTCTTATTCTTCCTGTGTTGATGAAGGCTTTTCCAAATACATGGTAATGGCTGACAGTAACTTAGTACCAACCCTAAGGTTGGTGCCTCTGACTGACAACACTGCAAAGTAAAACATTACAAATCTTTATTAGAAAAAATTTCCGTTGTTCAATGTTTACAGCGAAGGATTTATGGAAATGAATTATAGTAGAGAAAAATCAATGTGACATACAGAATGACCAAATGAAATGTGACATAACAAAAATTTTCACCTGGGGATGGTGTTTTCTCTATTAAAAAATATTTAGTGTGAGCCAGGAGCTGGTGATTCATACCTATAATCCTAGCCACTCAGGATTTGAGGACTCTAGTTTGAAGCCAGTCCAGCCAGGAAAAGTCCATGAGACTCTTATTTCCTGTTAACCAGCAAAAAACTAGAAGTGAAGCTGTGGCTCAAGTGGTAGAGATCCAGCTTTGAGTTCAAGCCCTGATACTGGCACAGAAACACAAAAACAAAAGCAATTAGTGAAGGTTCTTTGCTTGGTATCTAGAAACATTTAAGAATCTGTGAGAACTGAAGACAGTTCTAAAGATGTTTGGATCCAAGAACTAACCACGCTGCCTGCGGTAAAACTAGCTGTGTCCAGTATTACCATGAGCTTAGCTCTTGGGCACATGTTTTCAGTCAATACTGTTCAGGAGTGAAGGCCCAAGCCCACCAGTAATGAACTTGCAGAGAATGGTGGCGATGCACTCTAGACAAAACAGGGGACTCTCATCCTGCTGGGAGGTGACTGGACCTCTGAGTTTATAGTGAGTGAGAAGGTGAGGTTGCTTGGAACAGGAAGATTTTATAAAAGTTCCTGAATTTTTTCATCTCAATGCAACAAAGGTTAAATGTAATGAATACTAAAACAGACTAGCATTTTATCAAAACTTTTTAAAATAATATTTTATTTGATGTTATCATGGGATCCCCGTCCCCTTTTCAAAGGAAAATACATTAGAGAATAGATCAACTGGAAAAGAATTTCAAAGGTCTATTCACATGTACATTTCCCAGAATGCACCTCTTGCACAAAGCAAGCATGTAGATTACTTTACTCAGAGAGGGAAGTTTTGCAATTTAATGACCATGCTGAAATCACCAATAATCTGCTAATGTAACAGAGTGTTTATTTGGTCTTTGAAATGACAGGCACCCTTAGAAGATGTCTCTTAGACTTTTAACATTCTTTAGACTTTTAGTAGGCTTTAGCTTCAAGAATAAAGCACCCAAGTCTATTTTCATAATACTAATATTAGCTACTGATGCTGAGTTTATAATGTGTACAATTTCATGGAGATGTTCTAGAATCAGTAATCTTGATGACCATACAATTTTATAAAATGGATAATTAAAACAGTCTTAAAAAACCATTAAAATACAAAGACTATTCTCTTGGTAACTAGATTAAATTTAACTTAAATTGGACTACTTTAGAAAATCTCTGGCTTAATGCTGTAGTAGCACATGCCTGTAACCATAGCACTTGGGAGACTGAGGCAAGAGGATCATGAATTCAAGTCTAGCCTGCACTATTTAGCTAAGATCCTGTTTTAAAAGAGAGAGAAAGAGACAGAGAGACAGAAACAGAACTTCTGGTTTAAAATTTAAGACAACGTTCAAACCTTATTTATTCTATTATAAACAAGTTTGAACAATTTAGAAATACTGAAAGTTACAAATATTTAAGGGGTACCAGAATTGTAAAGAGCAGTTTTACTGTTCTTCCTTATTGGCTGAGTGTTCGTGTTTAAAAATTACTTATATAGAAATCTTTTCTTCAGTTCTGTGATACACTGCAGCACAGAACTGGAATGGTGTAAGGAAAATACTCAACTTATTCACAGTTTGATAACTACAAAGTGAAAAAGATATGGGAATAAAGTATGATATAAAATGCTAGGTAGGGTCACACCCTCACCCTATTATGGGAGGAGAGCGCAGCTTGTCAATTCTTACAGGGCATTGCAAATGAGGAGGCCTGGATGAAAGAAGAGACACTGTTGTTAATCTTTTTTTGTCAGGTGGTCATGGAGCTTGAACTAAGGGGCCTGGGCACTGTCCCTAAGCTTTTTCACAGCTCTACCACTTTGAGCCACAGCTGTACTTCAGGTTTTCTGGTGGTTAACTGGAGATAAGAGTCTCATGGACTTTCCTGTTGGGGCTGGCTTCAATCCATGATCTTCAGATCTCAGCCTCCTGAGTAGGATTACAGCTGTGAGCCACCAGTACCTGGCTCTTTTTAAGTGACCAGTTCTTAGATGCCTGCCCTGAGCCTGACTCCAAACCTTGCTGAAACTATGCAATCTCTGAAATCAAGTACAATTCAAAAGCTGCATAGAAAAATAAAACAGAGGAAGGGGAAGAGGGAGAGAAATGGAATACTGGCAGGCAGGGAGACAAGAAAGCAAGCAGGTTAAGCCTTAGTAACTCAATAAACAAGTAAAAAAAACAGTGTCCTTTAACTAAAAGGCAATAGTGCAAAGCTATCTTTGGCTCTTTTAAAACTCTGCGTACTGATTTTAAAAAACAACAACAACAAAAGCAAACACCACAGTTCTTATGAGGGAGGCTTGGCCTGCTAAGAAGGCTTATTACCATAGCACACAGGAAGCCTGCCTAGATCCTGAGATAAATTGTCTGGCAGAAGCCAAGATAACAGACATCTTGCTTTTCTATTTCAAACTGTTTTTTGTTTGTTTGTTTTTTTAATTAATAGTAGACTATCTCATCCTACACAGAAATGTTTGTGTGAAGGGTCTAGCCAAGTCTGAGCTTCTCAGGATAGGGTTAATGGACCCTTTTCCTCCTTGTCTAGCTGCAAATGCCTCGGTGCTTCTGCTGTCTCTTGATGCAGGTGCTGCCCTGAGACAGGGCACCAATACAGATGCTGGTCATCTATCCACATGGCACACATGCGCCGTCCTCCCGACCCTCCTGCCACAGTGCACCGCTCAAGCATTCACTGCAGGTAATACTCGGGTGAAAAGGACCACTTTGTGATCGTGATTCTTACACAATATGAGTAAAAAAGTGCAAGAAGGAAAGAAGTACCTACTAAACTCCAATTCCTAAGCAGCTTTCATGGCGGGCTGGACCTTGTGCAGTGGGGGGGTGAAATACTGTTCATGCAATTCTGCTCTGCATAGATGAACTTCTTATTCTTCACATATTGTGAAATACTGAGTAGGTTACCAACATGTCAGGCTTTCCCTTCCAGTATGCCTCAGTCTCAGTGGCCATTTTTCAAGTTGCTCACACTGAACACTCCACCAGGTTACCTTTCATTTGAGGTGTTCAACAGCACACATCCTTTTTCCTTTGACAGTATATAACTGTTACCATATTTTGTGTGTGTGTCCAGGCAATGGGGCTTGAACACAGGGCCTGAGCACCATCCCTGATCAGCTTCTGCTCAAGGTTAAGTACTTTACCACTTGAGCCACAGCTTCATTTCAACTTGTTGGTGGTTAATTAGAGATACTTTTATTCAATTTTCTTGCCTAGGCTAGCTTCAAATCGTGATCCTCAGATCTCAGCCTCCTGAGGAGCTAGAATTACAGGCATGAGCTACCGGCGCCTGGCTCAGAATGACTTCTTTTAAGGGAGAAAACAGTTTTTCTACCTTTTACCATTAGCTTTTACAAAATTCATTAATACCCACATCAGAAACTGATAAACTTAAGACATTTAACTGTCAGAGTGGATGACTATAAAAGCCTAGAGCTCTGTGCTGCACAGATGCTAGGCCATCTCCTGTGATGCACTGAAAGCTATCTCTACTTGGACATCCACTTTGGCTCCTGATCACACCAGCAGGTTTTAAACCATGTTTTTAAATCCTGGCATTTTGTTCCCTTGATTAGGGAAAAAAAAACCACCCACCTTTCTCAAGTTCATGTATTCTTAAAAAAAAAAAAAATAGAAAAGACTACAAGCTATGGAATGATGAAAGCCTCAGTGCCTTATACCTATAAAGAACAATAGTGATTTTGAATCAGAAATGTCCATTTTTGATTAGAGAAAGATTTGGTCCTCAAAAAGGTCAAATTAGGCTTACATAAATGGTCCTGAAAATTTTTTTACAATTACCTTTCCCCCCCCAAGACTCATAATAAACCATTCAACAGGACTACATTAAAAACTGGTATTAGTAGAAAGTGGAAATGCTTCAAATATAAAATATAATATCACCTACTACCAATTTTACAATTGGAAATTGATAACAACTTACACAAGGAAAATAATGAATATAGCTAAACAAAGTGTTTCCAGTCTTTTTCCCTTATACCCAGGACACTTTCGTATCAGATGTCACCAACACTTGGTGATCTTCTGGAGGCTTCCCAACGTTAGATGTTGCTGGACTCACTGTGGGTCTCCTTCAACTCTCCTCTTACGTACTGTGAAGACATAAACGTAAGCAAGTTAGAAATCTCTATTTGTTTTTACAATGGTAATGCACACGTTTCTGTATCATCCAGTTCAAGTTTTACAAAAATGAAATGCATTTTTTTTTATTATTTTTATTTTATTTTTTTTTCTTTTGGGTCCGGTCGTGGGGCCTGAACTCTGGGCCTGGGCACTGTCCCTCAGCTCTTCAGCTCAAGGCTAGCGTTATACCACTTGAGCCACAGCGCCACTTCTGGCTTTTTTCTTTTTTGCTTATGTGGTGCTGAGGAATCGAACTCAGGGTCTCATGCATGCAAGGCAAGCACTCTACCACTGAGCCACCTTCCCAGCCCCTTTATTTTGTTGTCAGTTGTGGGCCTAAACTCTGGGCCTGGGCACTGTCCCTCAGCTCTTCAGCTCAAGGCTAGCGTTCTACCACTTGAGCCACAGCACCACTTCTGGCTTTTTTCTTTTTTGCTTATGTGGTGCTGAGGAATCGAACCCAGGGCCTCATGCATGCAATGCAAGTGCTCTACCACTGAGCCACCTTCCC